ATGGTATCTATGTGGTATTTGGAAGCCCACCTCATAGGGATATGAAATAATTTGAGAAAATGTAACAGTAAACAGTTTTTGTGCTAAAAGGAAAATATCATGCCCATAGTCTTACTGAAAGTAAAATTGATATCCAGAGCTATTTATTAACTTGCTCCATTATATAATGATTTACTGGCTATTTGGGGATTAAAGTTCTTGTTACTTCTATTGTCTCAAGGCTCCTTCCATAGTGTAGCTTAAAATGATGGCTTCCAAGACTCTGTTGAACTTCATCTTTTTGAACATTCAAAGTCATATATGGGACAAGAGAATTTAGTAGAGAGATGATAGATATAAGATTGATACATCACAGAGAAAATTTATTAATATCTCATCAGCAGCTTTCTAAACTTCATTCCTTCTATCAACTTCCAGTAACTTCTGTATTAACCCAGTTATACTCCTTTTCTGATCCCCTTGATATCTCTCATAATTCAAATGTTTTCTTCTGCTGCCCTCTTGAATGCTACTCAAAATGAGATGAACATTATCTTGAGATTCTGGCAATGTACGTTTACTCAAAAGCAGAGGACTCTTCTCAGTGGTCTTTCAGGAAATAGCCACAATTGCAAGCAATTAGAGCAGATGTCCACATGTAATACTTAGGAACCTGTCTGATATAATCTCAGAGAAGCAGATAAGAACTCCTAGGTTTTTGTTCTTTTATTTTGTTAATAAACACTTCAGTTCTAACACTGGAGATTTGAATCAGAATTCAAATTATTTAAAACTTCTAAAGTGCAAAAATGATACCACAACCACTTAATTTAAAGATATACTTTCCAGAATGGATAAATATTTGAGGTTACTGTGTGTTTGAAAGATGGGTGAATGGACAAAAAAAAAAAAGAGTAAAGCAAAATACAAGAATTCAATGCTCTGAAATCGCCCATTCCCTCTCCTCATTACTTTCTGACTCCATCATCTTTATTTCTTATTCTGCTCCAGTGCTTTCTGCTGGAGTGATATTTTCCCCCTTACTGTGCCCTCACTGATTACAGAACTTGAGAGGATATCACATATGACAAGGTATGTGAACTAATATATCATATTGATGCAGAAGCAGTTTATCATGTTTGTAAGTAGCGAATCTCAGAGGGAGGGGGATCAGTTGATTATAATAAAATTAACTGATTCCCTCCACAGTAATCTTCTGCAGAGAGGACTTTCTTGACTGAGATCCAGAAAGTAGCATCCTATGTAGGATTACTCAGGAAAGGACATTGTCCATGTGAGAGAAGAAAATACACACAATGTCCTCCATGATGAGATACCTCCTGAGCAATAATATAAGAATTGGGTCACTCTTCAGTATTACATTTAGAGAGATACTGCACCTTATCCAAACAGGAATACTGAGGATGAAAGTGTCTCTATTACCAAACTGCAAGCACAGTAGGAGACAACTCAGCCGTCCTGGGTAAACTGGGGAGTGTCATTCACCCCAGTCACATGGACTAGAGGGGATCTGTTCAACACTTGTGCAACTCAAGGAAATTATGGGTTGTGTGAAATCTCTCTTCTGATGCCATTTATCCTGTTTAACCTGATTCCTCCATTCCTTGGCAACATTTTTTTTTTTGCCAATAAAATACAAAATGCCCCCATACAATCCATCCCTTAGAAAAAACTCCTTGCAGATTCAGACATAATTTTTAAAAAACATGAAAAGTTTAAAAAATTAATTTTCTTGCAAAGATCTGCACCCTAATGGGGATCAAAGTATTAAACTAAAGCAATGCTGGTCTGAGAGTTAAATATAGCGAGTAAGTTAGTGTGTGTGTGTGTGCATGCTCAGTCCCTCAGTTGTGTCCGATTTTTTGTGGCCCCATAACTGTAGCCCACCAGACTCTTCTGCCTGTGGAATTTTAAGTGAGGATTTTTTTTTAATGTTAAAAGAATAATATCTGCTTTTTAAAAATTAGAACCAAAAACAGGTAAATTTACAAATAATTCTGCTTACTCTCCACCATCCCCATTTCTTAGAAGTGACACTTTCTTCTGTATTCTTCAAGGTAGTTTTTAATTTATGTATTAGTATCTTTATGTATGTATGTATAAAATACTATTTTTAAAATTGATAGAATCATGCTATACAAATGTTCAGTAACTACTTTTTTTCATTTAGAGATACATTTGAATATTTTATGTCTATATTTATGACTATGTTTCTCAAAGTTCTTGTCAAATAAGAGCAAGGCAATTTTTAGGGGACTAGTAGTGGAGATGGAGAAGGAAATGGCAACCCACTCCAGGGACGGGGGAGGATCCCAGGGACGGGGGAGCCTGGTGGGCTGCCGTCTATGGGGTCGCACAGAGTCAGACATGACTGAAATGACTTAGCAGCAGTAGCAGTAGTGGAGAAGGAAATGGCAACCCACTCCAGTATTCTTGCCTGGAGAATCCCAGGGACAGAGGAGCCTGGTGGGCTGCTGTCTATGGGGTCACACAGAGTCGGACATGACTGAAGCGACTTAGCAGCAGCAGCAGTAGTCCCAGAATAAGTAGAACAAAATTAAAATACATGTTGTTAACATTCAAATGAACCTGAATAATCATGAAAAATTTATATTCTGATATTGATAAAATAATAAAGTAATTTAGAGGGTCCTGTTAAGATTTCTTAAGGATGAATACATGGTTAGCAGGTGGAGCTGACATATCAGCAGTTTTAGGAAATTCAGGGCGCTGAATAGCTTTTGCTTAAAGCATCTCAGGAGGGCTTCCTGTGTGGCTCAGAGGTAAAGAATCTACCTGCAATGCAGGAGACAGAGGACATGTGGGTTTGATCCCTGGGTTGGGAAGATCTTCTGGAGGAGGGCATGGCAACCCACTCCTGTATTGTTGCCTGGAGAATTCCATGAACTGAGGAGCCTGGCAGGCTACAGCCCATGGGATTGAGAAGAGTTGGACATGACTGAAGTGACAGGGCAAAGTGTCTCAGAGTTCCCACATCACTATCATACTTGGATAACCGTGTTTCTATGTGCAAGGCACTATGCCAACCAATTTTCACTGAAAAATCACATTTATACTTCACAGCAGGTGGTTGCTAGGATCCTTACTTTGAGGGTTGATAGTTTTTGGGCTAAGGAGAAAAAAGGAAGGTGAGTTTTCAACTGGCAGAGCCATCTTTCATTGGTAACCTTAGAAAATGTATAGTTTTATAAACCATAAGTAATTCCTCTTTGAGCAACCTCAGAGACCTTGAAACACTCTAACTTCTTTCATCCACACTGCTCTGTTTCTAAGGGCCAGGGTCTAGACTAAGCGATGTGTGTATGTTTCACATCAAGACAACATAAAAAAGCAGTGTTATCTTCACAAGTGAGAACTTGAAGATCAGAGGATAAGAAACATTCCCAGTGTAATGTAACTAATTAGGCAAGGTAGCCTGTGAGCCTAAGTCCAGTTCTGTATCATTAAATAATCTTATATGAATTCTGAGCTTCTAAAATTAAAGACATATATGTCCTCAGTTGTATCCATTATTAGATACTTTTTTTTAATTAGATACTTTCTACATGTTCTTTTTTTTTTTTGGAGGGGGTGATATTTACACAATTTTAATTAATTTTAATTTACACAATTTTTACACAGAGTGTCTCACTGGCATTAGGAGAAAATAGATGGCACTAGGGGTAAAGAGTTCACCTGCCAAAGAAGGAGATGCAGGAGATGGGGGTTCTATCCCTGGATTGGGAAGATCCCCTGGAGGAGGGCATGGCAACCCACTCCAGTATTCTTGACTGGACAATCCCAAGGACAGAGGAGCCTGGTGGGCTACAATCCATAGGGTCGCAAAGAGTTGGATACAACTGAAGTGACAGCACACTCTCATGATTTCAAATGGCAATAACTGTGTCTATATCTATCTAATAGAAGGTACCCAGGGTAGAAAGAAGTGAGGACAATGAATTTACAGAATAACAAAATTCAAATTTTGATATTTTATATAGAATAAGTTATATGAATATGGAAACTGATGTTACTTTAAAATTTTTGAAATTTATTTTGCTAATACACTTAAAAATAGAAACACTTGAAATACTTGAAAAGATAAATATGTATATTTTTGTCAATATATTTTCACATTATTAATAGCATCAGTCTGTAAGTTTATACAAACTGTTAGCAAAATGCTTATACTGACAGTAAATAAATGCACTTGTTAACTTACTTTTTATATTCCAGAGAACCAAGAGCTGAACCATTTAACATGAATAGGATCAATGAGAGTGTCCCCCAAGAGTTCATCCTCTTAGGTTTCTCAGATCGACCATGGCTGGAGCTTCCACTCTTTGTGGTGTTCCTGATTTCCTATATCTTGACCATCATGGGCAATCTAGCAATAATTATTGTGTCCCGTCTGGATTCCAAGCTCCATACCCCCATGTATTTTTTTCTTACCAATCTCTCATTCTTGGACCTTTGCTACACCACAAGTATAGTTCCACAGATGCTGGTAAACATATGCAGCCTCAGGAAGGTGATTCGTTATGGTGGCTGTGTGGCACAACTTTTCATTTCCCTGGCTTTGGGTTCCACTGAATGTCTCCTCCTGGCTGTCATGTCCTTTGATAGGTTTGTAGCTATTTGTCGGCCTCTCCACTACTCCATCATCATGCACCAAAGGCTCTGCCTCCAGCTGGCAGCTATGTCCTGGGTTAGTGGCTTCAGCAATTCAGTATTGCAGTCCACCTTGACCCTGCAGATGCCACTCTGTGGCCACAAGGAAGTAGATCACTTCTTCTGTGAAGTCCCTGCTCTGCTCAGGTTGTCATGTGTAGACACAACAGCAAATGAAGCCGAACTATTCTTTATCAGTGTGCTATTCCTTCTAATACCTGTGACACTCATTCTGATATCATACGCTTTTATTGTCCAAGCAGTGTTGAGAATACAATCAGTGGAAGGTCGGCGAAAGGCATTTGGAATATGTGGCTCCCATTTGATAGTGGTGTCACTTTTTTATGGCACTGCTATCTATATGTACCTGCAACCACCATCCCCTGCCTCCAAGGACCGGGGAAAGATGGTATCCCTTTTCTATGGAATCATCACACCCATGTTGAACCCCCTTATATACACGCTTAGGAACAAAGATGTAAAGGGAGCATTTAAAAGGCTGATTGCAAGGATTTTCTTAATCAAGAAATAGGAATACCCAAATGATAGGCCTTGTTAAAACTTGAAGTTTACTTATTTTAATAAGCTAATAAATCAAATTATTTAATTTAATAATAATTAATTTAATTTAATTTAATCTGTCCAAGTTGCTTTAGTCTGACTACTCTTAGAACTGTTATGATGACCTTCTTCAAATAAAATGTCACTGACAAAAATCTACACTTCTTTCCTACTGTCTACCTATGGTCATTGCACAAGTCCTGAGAACTGGTGCAGTATGATCCTCTAAAATAGTGTAAGCTTAAAATACTTAAAGTCTCAGGCTTTATAACACTGGTTTGTGTACTTGGTAAAGAGTCTTAAACTTCTTTGAGACAAGAATGAAAGCTTAGGAAACATAACATTTTTATACACATTCAAATATGCTTACACACACCACAAATATTTTCTTAATTACAGGAGATAGAACAGAAGCCCATAAAGCCATACAAAGCACCCCCTCCCTTATAAAGTTAATGATAATAGATTAAATTTTAACACTATTCCCACATCAACACAATATTTGGGTTCCACAATGATTTTTCTTCCACAGTTTTACCTGGATCTCCTCTCATGTCTATACTTTCATTTATCCTAAATTGAAGTATCTTATCCTATTTCATCTACCAAATAAATTTGTAGCTACATTTTAGACCTGAATCACACACTCTTTATTGGAATTTTTTTTCATTATTCCCTTACCATCTATGTTATCTGTCTCCTTTTAAGCCCGAAAGCAATTAGAATCTAAATCATAAAACTAGCACAGTATATAATGATATTCATTGCTTGTTTAATGCACTTCCTTTGTTCAAGAAGAAAAGCTTATTATGTTAGCTCCCTTAGGTAGCATAGATTATAATTTATACGTCTTCCACATGGCCTTCAGAGCTCATCAAAGTGCTGAGAAAAATATTTGCACACTGTGAGTCGGTTTTTGGCTGATTTTATGAATAGCCGGCGTGCTGCAGTCCATGGGGTCACGGTCGGACACGACTGAGTGACTGAACTGAACTGATGAATAGTTGCACTGTAGTAATTTTAACTGCTTCTTTTTCTAATTACTTCTTCTACTAAATACAAAAACAGAAAGTTCAATAACTAAGAAATACAATTAGCATGTTTCCTTTGAGTACTGGTATTCACAATGTACTGCTGCTGCTAAGTCACTTCAGTCGTGTCCAACTCTATGCGGCACCATGGATGGCAGCCCACCAGGCTCCCCCATCCCTGGGATTCTCCAGGCAAGAACACTGGAGCGGGTTGCCATTTCCTTCTCCAATGCAAGAAAGTGAAAAGTGAAAGTGAAGTCGCCCAGTCATGTCCGACTCTTAGCGAACCCATGGACTGCAGCCCACCAGGCTCCTCTGTCCAAGGGATTTTCCAGGCAAGAGTACTGGAGTGGGGTGCCATTGCCTGCTCCGATTCGCAATGTACTAACAAGGTACATTTCTGCCTCAGTGTAATTTTCTGAAACAACATGGTGGATCTTAAAACTTCAACCTGCATCAAGACCACCTAGAGGGCTTTTAAAAATCCAAGATCCCTGGGAGTCAACCCACCTACACTCCAAAGTTTCTAAAGTAGGAGGTCCGGAGGGAGGGGCCGGGATTTGCATTTCTAATTAGTTCTCAGGTTGTGCAGATCAGGGACCGCACTTTAAGGACTGCTGTGCTAATGGTTAAAATGAATAAAGAGGTCTTGCTAGTACTGGGGCTCGGGGTGGGCCACCTCTTAAAATATCACAATGGTATTATTTTGAGTTGAAGTTGCTTGAGAAGCAGCAGTTACAAGAAGGAAACTCTGACCTTCTTCTGTCCCCTGGAAAATAGAGAACAAATCTCTCATGTGAAAGGTACACTCCCCACATTTGGAGGTAGAAGGACATCCTGATCACCACAAATAGGGAATTCACACTAAGAAGCCAGTATAAACCAACTGTTTTTAATTAAACATACAAATCACTGACTTCAGTTCTAGGATTCATATTTAGAGAGATACAAATATTGTAAAACCAAAATGTTTCTGCAGAATAATGACTAGAGAACTGAGGAATCAGAACATCATGCCTCTTGAAGAACTACTGAAGGCCTAGGTTTATTTAACATGGAGTGAAAATGCTTTGTCAATGTTTGATATAATAGTTCTCTTCACGCATTTGAAGGGCAGTCATGTAGAGTATTGTTTGTTCTGTGAAGGATAGGATTCACATTAATGGGTAAAAATAAAGTTGGTATTATATTAAAAGGGATTCACAATAAAATTTGAATTATACCATGATGAAATAGTTAAACATTTCTGGCAATGTGGGAAAATAGAAATCTATATAAAATAGGCTCAATTAGTCTACCTATGCTTTTCCTCTCTAAAATTTTAGAAATTTTCTGTAGCTAAATCATATGTCATAACCATTTCTGTGAATGACCAAAGAACAAAAGTAGACACAGAGAAAATGATAGAAATAACCAAGCCTTTAGAAAAATGTCATGTAGAAATTGATTCTTGTGGCTTCTAAGGGAAGAGTTAGGTGGAAGCTACTGTGATTCAATGAATGGGAGTCAACACTGGTTAAAAAAATTTTTTTTAATGAATAAATATCTCTGTGGAGACAGGATTTTCAATTCTGGAGGGAAGTTGGACTACATGGCTGGTAAGATCATTCCTGATCCAGGAAGTCTGTGGCTATGTCAATAACAATTAGGGAGAATTTGGTTAGATATAAAAAAATAACTTCCTGAAAATAAAATCTGCAATGTAACAGAATATATAAATAAAGGATACAGTGAAATTTATTCTCTCACAGTTCTGCAGGTCAAGTGTCTGATGTCAAGGTGTCAGTAAGGTCATGTACCCTCTGGAAGCTGTGGTGGGGGAGGGTGTAATTGGCGGGATCTGTTCCTTGTCTTTTTTGGTTTCTAACGGCTGCTGGCATGTCTTGTGTCCTTGACTTGTGGTCGCATCACTCTCAGCTCTGCCTCTGTTTTCATATCTCCTCTTCTGTGTGCCTCAGTCTAATCTCCCTCTGCCTTTCTCTTATAAGGAAACATGTGATGGCAGGTAGAACCCACCCAGATAATCTAGCATAAATTTCTCAATATCCTTGAGTAGTCACATCTTTTGCTATTGAAGGTAACATCTGAAGTTCTGGAGATTATGAGGTGGACATATCTTTTCAGCTCAGTTGCTCTTTGCGACCCCACGGACTGCAGCAGAACTGCAGAGAACCAATTACTTCTTCTACTAAATACAAAAACAGAAAGTTCAATAACTAAGAAACACAATTAGCATGTTTCCTTTGAATACCAGTATTCAAAATGTATCAACAAGGTACATTTCTGCCTCAGTGTAATTTTCTGACACAACATAGTGGATCTTAAAGCTTCAACCTGCATCAAGACCACCTGGAGGGCTTTTAAAATCCTGTCCATCATCAACTCCCAGAATCCACTCAAACTCATGTCCTTTGAGTCGGTGATGCCATCCAACCATCTCATCCTCTCTCATCCCCTTCTCATCCCACCTTCAATCTTTCCCAACATCAGGGTCTTTTCCAATGAGTCAGCTCTTCGCATCAGGGTGCCAAAGTATTGGAGTTTCAGCTTCAGCATCAGTCCTTCCAATGAATATTCAGGACTGATCTGCTTTAGGATGGACTGGTTGGATCTCCTTGCAGTCCAAGGGACTCTCAAGAGTCTTCTCCAACACCACAGTTCAAAAGCATCAATTTTTCAGCACTCAGCTTTCTTTATAGTCGAACTCTCACATCCATACATGACTACTGGAAAAACCATAGCTTTGACTAGACGGACCTTTGTCGGCAAAGTAATATCTCTGCTTTTTAATAAGCTGTCTAGGTTGGTCATAAGTTTTCTTCCAAGGAGCAAGAGTCTTTTAATTTCATAGCTGCAGCCACCATCTGCAGTGATTTTGGAGACCCACAAAAGATAAAGTCTGTCACTGTTTCCATTGTTTCCCCACCTATTTGTCATGAAGTTATGGGACCAAATGCCATGATCTTAATTTTCTGAATGTGGAGCTTTAAGCCATCTTTTTCACTCTCCTCTTTCACATTCATCAAGAGGTTCTTTAGTTCTTCACTTACTGCCATAACGGTGGTGTCATCTGCATATCAGAAGTTACTGATATTTCTCTCGGCAATCTTGATTCCGTCTTGTGCTTCATCCAGCCTGCTGTTTCTCATGATGTACTCTGCATATAAATTAAATAAGCAGGATGACAATATACAGCCTTGACATACTCCTTTCTGATTTGGAACCAGTCTGTTGTTCCATGTCCAGTTCTAACTGTTGCTTCTTGACCTGCATATAGATTTCTCAGGAGGCAGGTCAGGTGGTCTGGTACTCCATCTCTTGAAAATTTTCCACAGTTTGTTGTCATCCACACAGTCAAAGGACTTTGGCATAGTCAGTAAAGGAGAAATAGATGGTTTTCTGGAACTCTCTTGCTTTTTTGATGATTCAACGTATGTTGGCAATTTGATCTCTGGTTCCTCTGCCTTTTCTAAATCCAGCTTAAACATCTGGAATTTCATGGTCCATGTACTGTTGAAGCCTGGCTTGGAGAATTTTGAACATTACTTTACTAGCATGTGAGATGAGTGCAATTGTGCGGTAGTTTGAGCATTCTTTGGCATTGCCTTTTTTGGGATTGGAATGAAAACTGACCTTTTCCAGTCCTGTGGCCACTGCTGAGTTTTCCAAATTTGCTGGCATATTGAGTGCAGCACTTTCATAACATCATCTTTCAGGATTTGAAATAGTTCAGCAGGAATTCCATCAGCCTCCCTAGCTTTGTTCGTAGTGACGCTTCCTAAGGCCCACTTGACTTCACATCCCAGGAGGTCTGCCTCTAGGTGAGTGATCACAGCATCATGATTATCTGGGTCATGAAGATCTTTTTTGTATAGTTCTTCTATGTATTCTTGCCACCTCTTCTTAATATCTTCTGCTTCTGTTAGGTCCATACCATTTC